TTTGTTTTGTTTTGTTTTGTTTTTTACGTTATCTCTTTTGTTCTTGTAATAGCGTGGGATCCTTCGTATAATTCTGGAGATGGGTTACTGTCTAAAATAAACTCGACTAGACAGTGGGTCAGAGAAAAAGAGATTTAGGGAGTCTTCCCATACAAGTTAAGCTATGGGAACATCCCCCTATTTTAAAGCTGTATTTGGGTAGAAATGCTATTTGATACATACAACGTTATCAGAATAATCCTTTTCCAGAAGTTGCATGGCTGAAATTGTTGCTGAAAGGTAATGGGAAGAGAAATCATGACTGCTACAGAGCAATGAATTGACTCTTTAGTCGTTGGGTTTGCAACAAGACTTGATTTCTACTAGACATGAAAAAACAGGTATTAATGAGATAATTAACTTCAAAACAATTTGCTAAATGTTGTGGTGGATGTGCTTCTCTAGAAGCTTTTAAAGAAAACTCAGATGCCTTTTTAAAAGGTATGCTCCAGGCAAATGAGTTTTCAGTCTGGTGGCTTGGGTTATACTTGAAATCAAGCTTGATCATTATACTTTTGGCTTTTTAAGTTGATTTTTTTCCATTTGTTCACTGTTCTCTTTTTCATTTATGCATGCATATATTTATAATAGAGTTTTTTGCTTATTTACCTGCAGGTTCTTGTCTAAAGGACAGAATGCTGTAATAGAACTACAAACTCAAAGACCTGTTGCTCTAGAGTTGTATAAAGATTTTAAAGAGCTTGGGAGGTTTATGTTACGCTACAGTGGTTCCACTATTGCTGCAGGAGTTGTCACAGAGGTATGGCATTTTTGTAACGGACTTTCTATACTGTAAAGGAATGGTGTTAACTTTCACAGAGCATTTAGTTTTTATGGTTAAGACCTGTTTTACACCCTTTGGCCTAAAAAGTGAATTTATTCTGCTGAAAAAGAGACAGTGCTTCAGCAAGATGTGAGGAAAACTTGTCATGGTTCTGTTCAATTTATTAGGAGCAAAAATTACTCTATTTAGAATTTTTGGATGTTGTGCATTTTTCCCCCTCTTGAGTTAAAAAATAACCCTTCACTGTTTTAACATACATCAGTCTTTCTGAAATCTAATTGTCTGTATAAATATACCGGAAGTAGTTTGTAAATAAGAAGTGTTGGCCATTTTTTACTGTGGCTAGTTTGGGTCCCAGATCTTTTTCAGTTAGCGTTAAAGACAATTGTACATTTGATGCTTACCGATGCCTATAGACATTCTCTGATCCTGTGTAAGTGAGAGGAAGCAAAGGCTGTGGGGCTAAATATAAATGTTTTGCCTTTTATTAGGAGCAAAAAATACTAATGTCCCTCTATCTGTCACTTTAAAAAAATCTTGCTATGATGTTTGGATAAGAATTTAAGTTCTAATTCTAGGCCTGAGGGAGAGCAATTTAGTCACATTAACCAAGTTCTGGTACTGAGACTTAAAGCTGAGTCATTTAATGTCAAAACTTGGAACTAGAGCATGAGAATTTCTGGCTTCTCCCTGTGTGCATAGGAATGATGTACTAGGTCTGTCAGAGGCTCTGGGCCTTATGGAGCTTTAACAGTCTGTCTGGTCTTAAATAGGATCCAGAATTAAGGCTTTAATCTTGCACCCATTTTTCATTAAATTTAACTTGAAGTGAATGGGGTTCTACTTTAGATCTATGATGCCCAATGTTTGTAGAATTGGGGACTAAATAACTCTTTGATTGTTATTTGGGAATTACTATTTTAATACTTGTGATTTTGTTCCAGAGAATTTCAGAGCAAAATGAATTATTTTTTCCACAGCTAATAATGTCATGTTGAAAAAAGCGGTGATCATTTTACATTTAGTACTTCATTTTTCACCATAGGGTTTTCTCCATTTGCTTATATTTTTAGATTAAAGAATGACAGTGGTGCCAGAACTTCTACCGTCCAACCAAAATGCAATCAGATATCCAAACTTCTGTTTAAGAATCCAGTTACTTTGGTTGAAGGAACAAGTGCAATTAATTGGGGAGATGATGATGATGACAAAAGTTAAATCGTGTGAGACGTCTGGGGAGCCCTTCATGAGTCTCTCCCACTGCAGAACAAGATGCCAACTGACAAGGAACTGCTAATGTTGCACTTCTCGATCTCAAGACACTCATGTGTTTCTCCATGTGGAATTTAGCCCTTAGAGAGCTTGATGGAAAAATCTTAGGAAGTTGAATTAGAGAAAAAGATGATGAATCATCATGAAACAAACTCCTTACTTCCAGACATAAATTGTTTACATACTTTCTTTGATTTGCTTTTTTGCTGCACATTAATTCAGTAAAGTAACTTTATTGGTCTAATATATTTTTAGGTTTGAGTTGAATGCATATTCAGGGAAAAAAAGAACTATTTACTTTGGTTTCAAGAGAATGGCATGTAGTATTATCCCGAGATTGTTTTCCCTGTTCCAAAATTTATTTAAAAAAGGTTGTTTTCTTTTGCCGTGTAGTGGAAGCTGTGCCAACATTGGCTAATTTTATTTTTTAAATTGTAAGAATAATAAAATAACTTTGTCTGAGCATAATTTTTGTCTCCTTCATCTTTTGTTATTTAAACCCTTCTAAATTGTGTTAAATCATTCTTTTCTTTCCATAACTCAGAAGTTTCAGAGTAAACTGATGAGTTAAAATGCGAAACTGGCATGCGACTTGTCTTTCTGTGGAAATAATTTCAGTTTTTCTCACGTTACTCAGTGCAGCTACTGCGCATACACCTCTCTTTCATCGAGACTTAGTGCTCTTTTGAACAAAAGTGCTGGCAGTTTAATCTCGGGATGTATGCCAAAGCCAGATTGTTGTGCTTACTCAAGCCTGTAACTCCCTCCCGCTTTTCAGTAATAGGGCAGGCGAAACCTCCCAACTGAAAAGAGGGTCCTTCTGCCGGCTCCAGCATGAGCTCGGGACAGACACACTTTACTACAACTTGGAAGTTTTTTTTCAATAGGAAGTGTGAGAGGACCTCAGGTATTTCAGGACCTGTACGCGAGTGTGGGGTGGAGACAATTCTACTTGACCATAGTTAGTAGTGTGGGGAAGGAACTAGAGTACTCACTCCAGAGCATTAGTCACTGGGGCTAACCGAAGTAAAGCTGTGCCCTGTGTAGTGAAGAACACAAAAAGCCCATGATTGTTATTTAGTTCAAAATCATATACGGTCCATACCTACTCTTCCCACATGGTTTTTTTGGTAGGTAACTTTTTTTGCACTTACATGCTTTAGCCCCCAAGTGCAGATATCTGCACTTGACCACATAGATGAATTATATCGTTGACTGCATGCACATTTGTAGAAGTATCAGCAATGCTTTACGTGGAAATGACTTTTGCAAAATCTTACGAATCTTATGAAAACTGTTATTGCCAAAACTGAAGCTTATGAATTATCACTATTTGTCATGTCTTTTTATAGTCCAGAAATTGCATTTAAATACTTAAAAGTTTCAGCATGCCAGCCCTGAAGGTTTCAGTGCACTTGTTGGATTCCAGAGATTCGTACTGCCAAGCTCCTGTGTTGAACCTATTTCACTTGAACTTGCCTTCAAACCTTGAAAATGTTTAGGTTGCTGTTAAGTCAGAGGACAGCTGAAGTGCTACAGGCAGAAGAATCCATCTTCAGTTTTAAGACTTCAGTAAATTCCTTGCTGTTTGTGGACAAGGAAGTGTGATACGGGATGAACCTCTGATAACCCTTGTGAGACATGGTTGCATTAAATTTTGAGACACAGTATTCTGTGACAACAGAAAAGCTACTGCATGCTTTCCCAGTTTGTAGCTTGGGAGAGCCAGAGGTGTTACCTAATCCAGTTTCAACACGACTGCACTACCTTTCAGCACTGATTTGAACACCGCCCAGAGGCGCCAGTTGGTTGATGCATAAATGATCTGTTGTAGTGCAGCAAAAACATATCACCTTTTTTTGATCAAAATATGTTTGCATGTTGATCCACAAGAAATTTGATGGCTTGGCAGTGGTCTAGGGTGCAAAAACATTCTAAACGGCTGATTGAGATACTCACAATCTCCTGGTGACAACATACTGCTCTCCAATATGGATGTAGTGTTTTGAATATATCTGGAGTACAAGGAGGTGGCATGCAATCTTAGAGCAATTTGATAATCTAAGCATTCTCTGTTGGAGAAAAAGATCTTTTACACAGCTCTTACCAGGCAGTTTGGGTCCTTGGGAAGTTAAAGAAAAACCTAATTATATGTAACAGGCTTCTCTATAGTAAGTGGCTTCCACTGGAATATCTGTGGAAGGGAAAGCATGAAAGCTGGTGTCTTGCTTCTTTTTTAAAAACTGGATTTCTGACAACATACAATAGAGTGTACCAGGTAGGATTGTGCTTCTCAACTGTTTTGAATTTAAGGGACCCTCAGCTGCTTGTATTGTTTGATGTTTGGGGATTTTGGTGGAAAAAAGAGAGTTTCTTATGTTTAAGATCTTTTGTTTTGGCAGAAGCATGGTTTTTGGGGTTACAAGGAAAAGTATTGATGACGACAAAACCAGTGAACCTGAGCTGCAGACATGCTAGTCCAAGTGTCTTTTCTCTGTGCCTACTGACAGTAAGGAGCAGGTCCCTGGCTAGGTGTTTGTGTCTTGAATTATTTTGTTTAGTTGTTGCAAAATGTCTTCAGACTGTAGCTTGAAAAACTGGTATAGGGAGAAATTTCCCTGTCAAACCATTCTTTTTCTCGCCTTCTTTTTTTCTCCCCTACTTTATAGACAGAGAGGAGCTGTTTTCTAACAACTAAGCTGATCCTGCCTCCTGGCTTCAACTCCTAGAAAAGAACATAGTGTCACAGAAATAGTACTTTTTTCCCCCTTTCCTCTTTTCTGCTGTTGTTGCCAGAGTTCATTCCCACTCATGAGCGAGCGGTGCAGGAAAGACGGAGAGAGAGAGGGGGAGGAGTTCAGACTCGCTGTGCAAATACCTACAGACCTACTAATCTAAATTGATGCCTCGTAGAAAAAATCACAGATGAAGGAAGCGGCTAACGATGGCTTACTCAAAGGCTGTCTTAGTGCTGGAAAACTTTATAGGTGGCAAATTTGTTCCTTGTTCCTCCTACATAGACTCCTATAATCCGTCCACCGGAGATGTCTATTGCAGGGTGCCAGACAGTGGCAAAGAAGAGGTGAGTACTATCCAAATGTACAAAGAAGTGAAAACATTAAATGCACATAACATTAATATTTTGAGTGGGAGAGGCTGAAGGTGGGAGAACAGAAAAACGCTGAAGACTTTAATGCTTAAATGAGTAAGTTCTTGATTGTATTCCAGTGCTGTGTAATCTATTGCTGTGGCTGTGAATACTGTTATTTTTTTACATTTTGCTGTTAGAAAGTTACGGGCTGGATCCTAGGCTGGTGTAGATCAACAAAGCTTCAGTAAGTTCAGTGGAGCTCCTTCAGCTCCTGTGGGAGATGTCTTGTACGTAAGTTAACAGTAACACTCAGACTGGCTGTGAGTATAAACAATCTGTAAGAGAGAAAAGGGTTTATTGAGCTCTTCTGTAAATAAACTTAGAGGCACCGTATACAACTAAATGTGTTCTCCCTTAGTGTCTTGATGATTTGCAATTGTCATTTAAAAGGATTTTTGGCTTGCTGACTCTTCCCTGAAGATGGTGAAAAGCTTCCAGACCTCTCTGGTTTTGGTATTAGCAGTTGGATATTAAGCAGAGGTGATGAAGTGGCTGCGATGAGTGTATGTTTCCTTATAACGTAGCCGTCCTCTGCATCAATGTAATGTTTCCTAGTCCTGTGCTCTCTGGTGGGATGAATGTTTCCTGATACCTTACACGTGTTCAGGTGTGGATGGGCAATGTGACATTCATCTGGGGAGCTGCAGTTTCATTGATGCTACTTTGTAAGGGATCTACAAGTGTGTGTCCACAAGTGTTTCGGATTTACTGAAGAGAGAAACGACTGGAAAAGCTTGGATAACGCAAAGGGCTTGGAAAATATTAACAAGTAGTGTACAGTATTTTCAAAACATTTTTAAACACAAACTGCTACTGTGTGTAGCTGTTCACTTGCATTTCGGTCCTGTTGACATCTTTTCTCTTCGCTTCTCTCAGCAGAAACCTTTGCACTGTAATTTCAACTGGGTAAATATTTGCTAGATGCTGATGACCAAGGGTTAAAGAGTAACAGGTTGGGTTTGCTAGAATACATCTGTGTAAGTTCATTCCAACCCTAATTATGCCTGAAAAGACTTCTCTTCGATGTGCAGGTGCAAATCCTCCTATTCATTCATTTGCAAAATCATTAACACAGGAGGGATGTGAGAATGCCAGAACAGCTTAACAAAAGTAGGCTGCTGGCCATTCTGGAGATATAGTTCAAATATACTAAAGAGCCATGGCTTTTCTCTTTCAGCTTTCTGAGTTAGTGGTTGTGTGTAGGAGCGGGAACCCAGTCTAAACACCTGTAAGGTCGGCGAGTGCTTTACCCCTGCCTTCAGACAACTACACAAGAAGGTCGGGCTCTGCAGACCTGGCATCCGCTGGTGACTGATGGAATATGCTGCAGGGGAAAATGCGATCACATGCTACTTAGAGGGTATCTAGAGATATCAAAACAAGCACCTAGACCCAGGTTCCACAAAAAACTCGGGCTGCTGGTTTCTAGCAAGGCTCGATGTCCAGTTGGATTTTTTTCTTGGTTAATTTTAGTGGAAGGTTAGAAGGCAGAATGGAGGCAGACAGTGAATCTGTTGCTGACCCTGGAATTTAACACCAGGTCAGCTGCAATGGCCATTTCAGCCAGTTTCTGCCAAAAACACTGAATATTTTTTTTCAGGAGTTAATTTGTTCCCCAGCTAGATGTCTTAAGTTCCAAATAGCAGCACCAAAGCAAGCTGAACAGGTGCCCTGTATCTCCAAAAGACAGGCTGGTGAGGGCTAATTAGTCCTGGCAAGTATCTTCTTAAAAATAATCTCTCTTCAAAGAACCTTGCTCCTGTGCATCATCCCCTGGGAAAGCAAATACCATGTCCTCAGGGCAGTTTGGGGTATTTTGGTATCAACCTTTTACGATAGGCCTGGATTGTGTGTTCTTCCTCTGTGTCTGTCTTGTGCAGAAGAGGAAAGCAGAAGGAAGTGTTTCAGACACACGAGTTCATAGTTGAATTCTTACATGTGTTTTCTTTGTGGCTCGACTTTCTCTGCTGCTTTTTGCTAGTCAAACTAAGTAACTGTTTAGCCTTTGTACGCTCTCTTACCCCTTCTGTACAAATCTCTCTCTTTTTCCTCTTGCTTTTTTTTTGATCAATCTACTGCCACTTCGTTCCTTCCTTTGCTAATTTTCTCTTCTGCTGTCTGTGAAAATGCAGCATTTTCTTCCTTCTCTAAACCCACTGGAGGGTTAAAGATGCAGATAGCCTCTCTTGAAGCACCCAGCACCTGGTGGGAAAGGCCACAGAGGAGAGGACAGACGAGAAGCAGCACCACAATGGCCCCTAATGACGGGAGGGTGGAAGAACAAGTTAATTAGTAAAGGTAGTATGGTTTCAGAGGGGGTGAACCTTTGCAGGGTAGTGTGCCATCCGCACCTGGCTCGCTCAAGAAGCGGCAGTTCCCCTTCCCCAGACCTGCTTTGGCCCTGCTCCAGCTGTTCGGCGGCTGACAGCCCGCCGCCGTCAACACCTCAGCAGTTGGTTGTCGAACTACAGTCGAAAGAGTAGAGTCTGGGTTTCTGAGCTTGGCTAGCGATCTGTGTGACCTTGTGTGAATTGGTTTATTTCCCACCTTGGCCTCCGTGCTGGTATCGTTCTGGCCCTCAAACTCTGGTCCATATTTTTAGGGAGACCATAAATTCTGATGTGCGTGGGGGGGAAGGTTTTTTACCCGCTTGAACTTTTGTGCCCTCATTAGTAAAACATCACTGGAGTGTCTATAAATTATTTTGTGATGGTTTTTATAACACCCGTCACGATCTGAAGGAACAAAATTGGAACTCAGTTTTGTGGAATTGGTGGAAAGGAGCCTTCAGTGACTGCACGGGAACCAGCGATATGGCAACATTAGGAGAGGTCAGAACGATCTGATTAATATTACAATCAGCATCCTCCTAGTTAATGATTTTGGCCGATTTCCAAAAGCTGAAGAAATTCATGAGCAAAAATTATGGGAAACCAGCTAAGACAGCTTTGGCTAAAAGCCCACCTTGATGTGTATATTAGACATCAGAAGCAATAAAGAAGTGATACATAGGAAGCAAAAATTGGGAAATAGGGCAGTTAATTAAAATATGGAAGGATGTTGGTAACCATCTTTAGTAATCTGAGAGACTGGTAAACATCAAGAAGGGACTGCTTATAAATCAATAGATGCAGCTAACTTCCATTTAAGAGCCCAGAGGAAATGATTGATGGGAGAGAAAGCTTTCTGGTGAATTTTAATCCTTTGAAGCCTAGTCTGCTTCAGAAAAGTGCTGGTAATCTGCCACTATTCAGAAAGGTCAGGCTGAACGACCATGCAGCAGTTATGTACATCTCAAGCAAAATACTGACAAGACTGGTATGCATCTATATAAGTCTATATAATGATCTTTCATATCTGTAGACTTCATTAGGTATCTGATGAGAGAACTGACTAAACCCCAGGAGTTTAGAAAGGAGCTCATTTTTTTTTTTTTCCTGTGGAGGTGTTAATGAGTTTCTAGCTGTGATCAGGTAATATTAAAAATTTTCTCTGAGTGTCTATTCTGTAAATACATTCTTAATCCTTGCTTGAACCAGCTGGAGGAAAGGGAAGAGGAAATCAAAGGCTAGCAGGGCATACAGTCTGTTCCTTCCCCAACCCTGTACTTTCATCATTGCCCAGTGTGGCTGAAGTCCCATGTTGCGAGTGCTGTGGACGTTTAGACTGAGGCTGCATTTGCTCTGGGAGAGGTGCAGTCTTCCCAACAATGTGATCTGGATTATTAGCCTCTCAAATATGAATTCATCTGCTGATTTTTTGATATTCTTTCTAAGGCCTTTCATTAACATTCACTGTGCCTCTTTTGCTTTTTTAGGTGGAAGCTGCTGTCAAAGCTGCCAAAGATGCCTTCCCAATTTGGTCCTCAAAAAGTCCATTGGAAAGATCTCAGATCCTGAACAAATTGGCAGACCTGATTGAACATGACCTGGAAGTATTTGCACAAGCAGAGTCAAAGGATCAGGGTAAAAATTAGAACTATTGATCTCAAATATAGTGTGTCTTGCTGAATATTGAAATGGAGGATATGGTCCAAATTTTTAGTATGGTAGGAACTGTTGGTGCGAATGGGAGTTGATGTGCATGAACTTTGCGGAAGCCGCTGATTTTGGATTCCTGGGGCATTCTTGCTTTTCAGAATTGCTGACTTTGACTTCAGTTGTTAGATATTTGGAATGCAATATTACAGGGAAGCTGTTGTCATTGACGATGGTTGCACTGTGCCGGGGATTACTTGGGCGCAGGACAAAAGACATTTTTCGAAAAACATGCAAATCAGCTTTCAGAGCAGAGTTTAAAGCACTGTTTCTGCCCGTGATAACACAGCAGTATGCTTGCTTTTGTTTCAGGAAAAACTATTACGTTTGCTAGAACAGTGGACATCCCTCGGGCCGTGTACAACTTCCGATTCTTTGCCTCTTCCATCCTTCATCACACAACAGAGTGCACCGAGATGGCAACCATGGGCTGCGTGCATTACACCTCGAGGGCACCCGTGGGAGTTGGTATGGTGCTCCTGAAACACTGAAAAGCTTGGCAGAGTGTCTGCCTCAGCAATGGCTCAACAAAGAAAGAGGGTTTTTCAAAAGCATTTATTGTCTCTGGATCATGTGCTAAACACGACTAGTCTGCTATAGCATGAGCAACTTTATGTAAAATCAGTTATGCTACTTACGGTAAAAAGAATGCTTAGGTGCTTTAAAAAGCATCTGGTTTAACCTGGTAGCTCTCACCCTCAAAATCTCTCTTGTATCTGTGTGGGTAAGTCAGTATTACTGCTGTGGGTCAGTGAGGCGTTCAGAAGCATTAAGCTGCTGCTCCTGCGGGGAGAGCTGGCTCCTCTCGCCTTTGGGGGAGCAGGAGTAGCTTGCAAGGTGACATTTCAGCCTGTGACTGGAATGCACACGGGTGGCTAAACCGCTTTTAGCTGGGGAATCGCTGGACTCAGCCACTAGATGCTGCTAATGCTTCAGAAATAAAGTGGCTGTGCTGAGCTGAGGAGTAATGGAGTTGTAATGATTCCGTTATTAGGTGTTTTATCTAAACGTATAAGAATGTTCCACATTCATACTTGATCTAAACGTATAAGAATGTTCCACATTCATACTTGAATTATTTAAAAAACAAAATTGGCTAACCTGGAGGACCTATTATTTAAAAGTTTTTGTGAGCAGCGGAGAACATGAGTACTTCTGGTAAAATTACTCTGGTAAGGAAAAGTCACTCACTGCATCTGCTCCATCAAACAATGAGAAATCCTATGGCTTTTGTGAGCAATCACGCCTAACAATTACAGATTGTTTTTCACTATTTTCTATAAATATGTAAAGTGAAAGTATTCCCAAAGGCAATTACTGAAAAAATTCTGGTCATTCAGTAATTTGAAGAAACGGCAGTTTGTACACTGATGAACTTTGGCACTCATAAGTTAGGCTAAAATTTGTCAGGAAAATATGCACTGTATGTTATGCATGCTCTTTTTTGTATTAAAATTGGGGAAAAAAAAAAAGCTCTAAAGAGCAAGAGAAAGCAATAGTGATCTGAGCTAACGCACATTACCTTAACTTGCTGTTGGCTAACCCAGAACGTTACCACAGACGAGTTGATGAACATAGTTTTTATGGCTAACCTTGCATTAATGTTCCTAGAAAACACTGAAAAGCTGCTGTGAATATAAGATTCTGCCATGAAGAAGCAGCAAAACTTATTCAGAGAGTTCGGCTGGTCACCTTTAGGATCATTTGCACAAATCTTTTAAAATTATCTGCCTCTGAGAAATGTTTCTAGCTGCAAATTTGTACAATTGTCTGGAAATAAAAGCCATAGCCAAATTCCCTTTATAAATCTGAATTGGTGTATAACTGCTTGAGGTTAGAGAATCGAGTTTTGTCTCCCAGCAGGCTGAACTCCTGTCTTTTGTGGTTTTGCTTTGTAGCTGGTTTAATCAGTCCCTGGAATTTGCCACTATATTTGTTGACCTGGAAAATAGCTCCTGCCATTGCGTGTGGAAATACTGTGGTTGCCAAGCCAAGTGAGATGACATCTGTCACGGCTTGGATGATGTGCAAACTCTTGGAGAAAGCAGGTAAGTCCCGTAGCGTACTAGGGAGTGGGAATGGGGTGGGAATCCTTGCCTGTGCACCATTTTTTTGTTGCAGAAATCAGAAAGTGCTCAAAGAATTTGGGAAAGACTGTTTGCTGTAGCTGAATATTGCACTGGAGAACAAAAAGCTCTCCCTGTCCTCATGCTATCCCATCTCCCCACCCCAGCTATTGCCCGTTTTTTTCCACTGTCTTCTCATGAAAAGTCTTCCTGTGCCTCCTTTCCCCCTCCTGCACTCCGCTTAAGGGTGCCCTAAGTCTGTGGTGCCAGCAGAGGAACCATCAGGGCGTAAGAGAGTGAGAATCAGTTCTCGGTGGCTGATTTGGTGACTATCAAGAAAAACTGGGAGGACAACTACTTCTTCCCTGAATGACTGAAAACTGAGTCTCCGATGATGGATGTCAGGCAAGCTTGACTGATCAGTGGAATTGGTTTTATCTTTTAACCCATGACCCCCGGAGTTATTAAACACCACGCGTTTCAGCCACTACGTATGTTAAGGGTCAGTCTTTGTCACCCTAGAGCTACTGGTAATTTTCTAACTTCAGAGACAAAACACAGTGAAGTGAAAACTGCAGACCAAGGGAAAGGGTATGATGACTGTGTGCCTTTCTTCCCATTAGGAGTACCCCACGGGGTGGTGAACGTGGTGTTTGGAACGGGCGCCAAGGCAGGAGAAGCCCTCGTCTGCCATCCCGACGTGCCTCTGATCTCCTTCACGGGAAGCACGCTGACGGCCCAGCGGATCACGGAGAAAAGTGCTCCGCACTGCAAACGGCTTTCGCTGGAACTGGGAGGCAAAAACCCCGCGATCATCTTTGACGATGCCGACTTGACCCAATGCATCCCCACCACCCTGAGGTCCAGCTTTGCCAACCAGGTGCCTCCCACCTCTGTAGCGTATAAACCCTGTTTGCAGCAGGAGGTATGCGTGTGTCTGAGAGCGTGTGTGTGTGCGCGTGCGCACCTGCACCTACCTTTGGATCCAAATCCTAAATTGTCAAGGTCTGTTTCAAGATTCTATGTTGTTGGCAAACTGTAAATGAAAACATTTTCATTATTCCACAAGCAGGGAAACAAAATAATAAAGAAGTCTTCCTAGTACTCTCCCTCAGAAAATAAGAAGGTGTCATTATCCCTCTCAAAACAGATGTATTGCTTATCCTCCCAGAAAGCAGCTGTTTTAAATCCCACCCTGCAAATAAGTGGGAAGCTGGCTGATTTGCTGGAATTAAATTAGGAGACTGCCCCCAAAATTCTATCAATGTTCCTCCTCCCTCATCACCACCCTCAGGAGAGATCACCAAAGCCATGAAACTGTATCAGGGCAAATGTTCAGAAAAATAGCTTGGTATCAGAAAGCGATTATTAGGAAACGAAGACAGAGATCATTTAGAATTGCAAATCACATTTCCTATGAAAAATGTTGGAGAAGACAACATGTAATCAATGAAAAATCAAATTTATTTGCATTAATAAGTGACTGTACAATCCTGTTATTGCTGTTTTGTCTTTTTCTTCTCTTCTCCTTTTTAATCACGGAAAAACCCTACTTTGCAGTGTTGGTGAACGTAGTTTGCACTCCTGAGGATGCAGGGACACAAGTCTCGTTCTGGGACGTGACTCTCAATACTCGTCAATAGTACAATGTAATACGAACTAATATTGTTGTTTTTCTTGTTTGTTTCTTTTTGGTAGGGTGAGATCTGTCTCTGCACCTCCAGGATCTTTGTTCAGAGGGGCATATACAGTGAGTTTTTGAAGAGGTTTGTGGCAGAGGTAAAGAAGTGGAAGGTTGGGAACCCCTCAGATCCTACAGTCGACATGGGAGCGCTAATAAGTAAAGAGCATCTAGAAAAGGTAATGTCACATGGAGTTTACATGATCTCATCTCATCTTTTGGAGGGCTATGAAAGGTGATTTCAGATGTGTATGGAAAGGACCATGTCCTCTCCAAGATTAGCTCTGAGCAATAATGATTCAAAGCCATTATCTTTTTGGTAAGGTTTCTGTTGCCTGTGGCCTGGGATCACTCCAGAAAAATCAACTCTATGGGGAAAACAATTTAAAACGGCAAACAATAGTTTTTTCCCATTTGAGGTGAAATAACTCAAAATGCGTAAATCTAAATCCTAAATTTATACTAACCAATCTTAGATTCAGCAACATTTTCATGGATTTTAATATTGCATTTGCTAAGATCACTTATTTGTCTAATAAGGTAGTTAACAAGGTAGAAGTTTTATTTTTCAGATCACTCTTTGGCAAACTCTGGGGAGTACAATACACAGTTTCCTAGGACTGCTTGCAAATAATTTGGAATTGCGTATGTGTAGAGGGAAGCTGAGATGGTGCACAGTTAAACATAGTCTGCTTTAGTGGCTTATATGAAATGAATTTTTATGGTGTCAGACACAGTTCAGGAGAGCAGATGCTCACATCCCAAGACTATCTGACACAATCAGCACAAGCAAGAAGCAGACCGAAAACCACAGAGTGAGAGAGAAAGCCAAACCTTTGTCATGCTTCTGACGCCTCGGCAGGTTCTCCAGGCCTGTTCAGAAGCAGAGTGGCAGAAACACCCACTTCCCGAGGTCCTCGGTCTGTGGCACCACAGAGGACTTCCGAGTCTAACCTACCAAGGTGGTTAAAAGAAGAAAAAGAGAAAGAAGCCCGGTGGTATCTCTGTGGTGTTTCTATAGGGAGAGAAACCAGGCAACGATTTCAGAACAGCGGAATTAGATCAATAGCATCTCCTATGTGTTCAAGGAAGCACAGGATAGCAGCAGCCATGGAAACAGCTTTAATTATTTATTGATGAGATTTTCTATAGCATTCATGGCTTCGTCATCCTAGTAGCATGTAAACATTTAACAAGCTTGCCTGTGAGGTAGGAAAATATTACTGATCTTTTCGAGTAAATGAGTGAACCATGGCATGGAATACGTGGCAAACTGCCCGAGCTCCTGGAAGAAGGGAGGGAGGCTCTGGGACCGCTTGTGTTTTCACCAGGGCCCCTACCCTTTTGAGAATACATAGTGAGAAGGGCCAGTGGTGTGGCCTGCTAGGCTAGTAAGTGTTTGGAGAGAGAGAAAGACTGTTTTACAGCAAGAAATAGCCAGCCTTACTTTTACAGAAACGTAAGCGACAAAAGGTAGGGAATGACCTCTGTTGTTAGGAGGGAAGTAAAGGCAGCGTGATCCAGTTGGAGATATTCAGGGGCTCCTGTTGATGTGCTCAGACTGGAGAGGTGGACCCTCAGGATTTGGTGTCCTTTAGCAGTGATGTTTTCCTCCTGCTTCCCCAGGTAAGGAGCTATGTGAAGAAAGCCCAAGCTGAAGGAGCCAGGGTCCTCTGCGGAGAGGGAGTGGATTCCTTGGCTCTCCCAACTGGCAACCAGAAAGGCTATTTCATGTTGCCCACAGTTATTGCTGAAGTCAAGGATGAATCTTGTTGCATGCAAGAAGAGATCTTTGGTCCTGTGACGTGTGTGGTAGCATTTGATACAGAAGAAGAAGTGATTGAAAGAGCCAACAGTGTGAAATACGGCTTGGCAGCCACTGTGTGGTCCAGCAGTGTGGGACGTGTTCATCGGGTGGCACAAAGACTGCAGTCTGGATTGGTGTGGACCAACTGCTGGCTTGTTAGAGATCTGAATTTGCCATTTGGTGGGATGAAAGCCTCAGGCATAGGAAGGGAGGGAGCAAAGGATTCCTACGAGTTCTTCACTGAGGTCAAAACCATCACAATAAAGCACTGACGTATGACAATAAAAGTATTTTAGGGTAAAATAAATGACAGTAATTTGCGTTACTGTAAATGGCTTTCTGGAACACAGGCTGCTATTGTGGTCATTTTTTTCTTGAACTTTGGTCAAGTAATATCAATGACAGCTGACAATAGTCATCCCAAAGGCTAATGTTGAATTCAGCCTTTCATGTTAAATGAGAAGATCAGTGCGAACTCCACAATCAACCCAGCCCAAGCTAGATGACTTCCTTATCTTATGGATCCTAAAGCTGTTTGAATATTCCTGTCTCACAAATCTCTCCCTCTAAGGCAGATTGGAGAAAGGATGATATATGACCGTACCTGTGGTTGGTGAATTGCCTTGAGGGACAAAGTGGCAAGCACGTTGTGAGGCTGATACTGTAATGGGAATCAGCCCATTTCCACTATAAGCAATACGTTCCACGTACCAATCCATACTGCACTTCACTGATATCAGACAAGGACTAATGCTACAGCACACTAAATGCCTAAGGCAGTACCTTCAATCTATTAAGTGGTATTGAACCATGGGGTCATGAAATTCTCATGGTACACAGAGGCAATAAATGTTTTAATTATAACCTGTTTTATGGTATGCAGCTGAATCATCCTGAGACTTGTTCTCTAACTACTTTAAAATTACAGCCTTTTGTCACTTCTAGGCCTCAGTGTTTTTCACATCCCTGAACAGATTTTGGCTACATCACAGACAGTGTCATTCTTCATTAATAAAGACTGGAAGTGACTCCTAAGAGAACTAACTGTTGGAAGTATTTGTCACCAAAATGTAAAACCCCTGGCAACTTTCCCTCATTCATTTACAGAGCTTTTTTTTATTATTTGTTTTTCAAGTTTTGACCTGAATTTCACAGTAAACAAAGCCACACGGAGTTTCATAAATGCCTGTATTCTGAGAAGAGCTAATGAGTCATTGGGATATTTTTTCATGGCTGTTGGGGGAAAAAAAAGGCACCTCTAAAATACAAAAAAACTTACAAAAAATTATTACTGATGAGACATGAAAGAATGGAGTAGCAAATTGCTCTGTTGCTCCTCTGCACACCAAAAAGAAAATACAGAGGGAGATTTGGGGTTAATAGAAAGTGCAATTCTATTTTTTGTACAGTTTATAATATTTTTAGTGGTGTGGAGCTATGATATGCAGGGCTGTAATACTTTGTAAAACTGATGTAGAAAGTCTAGAGGACTCTCTAGGCCTTGAATACTAATCCATACCTTTATTTTGATATTTCTAATTAAGATAGTTTTTTTGCATAGTGTACCTTTCAAGAGTGTATCTTCCAGAGAGGATTTATTCTTTCTTTCCAGAGTTTGGCCAAGCTAATGCTGGGATTTGCGCTTTTCTTAGCAAAAATAAAAATGCCAACAGGGTGTTTTAAATTACAGCTGCAGAAAGGCAGTCTTTTCTCTTTCTTTAAGTGCTTTTTGGTGAGAGGAGTCACTGGAATAAATAGTGGTACTGTTGCCCTGACCTTGCTCGAGTCATGCCAGGACTGTTCTAGAGGTCTTAGAGTGGGGAATGGATCCCACCTCCCCGCTTCCAGATGTCACTCCAGAGTGAGTTGCTCTCCAGGAGCGCTTGATACATGTGTCCTGAGTTGTCTGAAAAGCTGATTTTCTCTTTCCGAAGACTTTTTGAAAATAACTTGTATCCCAGAGCTGAGGCAAGAGTGTGTGAAACGTTGAAATCTCTGGATCCAACCCGGCTGCAGGGCAGACCTACCAGGCAGGCTGGGAACCTGCTCACCTGATGGATTTGCAACAAGTTACCCCCAACTGGAGATGAGTTAAGGAAATACATAAAAATCATAGGCTTGGTGAATTGATGTATTCTGAAGAAGCACAAACATTTTGTTTTATTTTAAAACTCTGCCTGGGTCTATTCCTGACCATGTGGTGGCAGCAGACACTTGCGTTGTTTTTTTTTTTCTCCCCCAGTCATTCATTTTGCTGGGAGGGGAATGAACAGCTATATTAGTGCATGTTTCATTCTGCCAATTTTTTTTTTTTTTTAACAAATCCTGTTTGGAATAGCAAAAGAACCCAAAAGCTGTGAAATGCTCCATTAGTTTGGGGGGCAGGCATTTTCAGCAACAGCAGATGGGATATTACACAATTAGTAGATTTGGATGGATTCCTTCCCCCACCTGGACCTGAACCTAGGTTCAGTTTTAATGAGCTGAATTTTCTTTCAGGTGTTGATTTTGGCTTGGTGTTAGATGTGTGATGGGAGATTTCTAGATATATTTCATGTACAGGAGATAAAGGCCTGTGTGTCATCTATGTGTTTCTGGCCCAAGATATCCGAGGTATTTTATAGAGAGGTGGAGTAGTAAGTGGGGAGGGCACAGAGCTCTGCAGGACCCCAGATGAGGGGTATGGAGATGGCAGCTGCATGTCCAGCGTGGCTCTGAGGGTTTCTCAGAGTGAACTCTTGGGGTGCCCCATTCAGTCATCCCTGTGTCCAGCACCTTAAAGAGGTAAGGGAGGTCTGCTGGTACTAATGATGATGCTTACTTTTGGGACGGAGGGAGAGCCTATGTGAAGATACAAAATGTTGTCCCTCTTTGCATTTTCCATCTGTAATGGACTCCTTCCTTCTCCAGTTAAGGTGCAGTTCAAGTGCCTTGCTCATTCTGCTATTTCTTGCCCTTTCAGATGAGTAGAGATTCACATATGTATATATACACATGGGTGGCTGGGTGGGTGTAACCTGGTGGGGACGTTTCTTTTCCTGCCTGTAGCAATGGGTAATTCTTGCATTTCACATGCCCACCTCCAGCCTCAGGTCCTAGCCCACAAGAGAGCTGCTGGTGCTCGTGGCTGTGAAGCAGGTGACGTGAGAGAGGTTACCTGCTTGTACCAGGGGCTGTCTGTGGGGACACTGAATTCTCCTACATACCAAATGCTATGAACTTTCCCACATGTTCTTTATTCAGACTGACTTCTAGTATAGCAATGTGCCTGGATAACTGTCTCTCATCTCACAGACGAAGTAGTCCAAGAACTTTTTCCTGCAGACGATGAAGGTGCCCGTTACAGCTGCATTGTTTCTGGATTTTCTGCTCTTGGTCCCAGTGTGCAGCGAAGAGGATATCCTGGAGGACGAGGCAGGCTGATCCAAGGCATCAGGCTGATGGCTCTTGTGGAGCTCGCTGGGATACGCGACCTGGAATTTTCCAACCTGGCAGCAAAGCTTTTTTTTGTACACTGCCCTGGCTTGTGCGTGAAATCATGTGGCCATTGTGAGGATTTGTTTAATTACTGTTACGTAAAGCCTGAAGAGTTGCTCCATCTGTTAATTCTTACAGATGGAGCGAGTACAGTTCTGTTTAACACCAGAAGATTATCTCACTGGTGTGAGATGATTACATGGGTAGGTAGTAATATATTTGCCACACTTTACAGCTCTCAATTAGCATAGGGTTATTTTTGTTCTATTTCAGATTTTTTCTTAGCATGTTTATATCTGTATCCAGCTATTGTATAATGCTTGAAAGCAGCTTTGCTTAGGGAGACTCCGGGCATGCTTCAGAGAGGAGACACATCAGTTCTAATGTTTATATTCAAATCAAGCTACGTCCCTGTTCCCACAGTGTTTGTAACTTAGGCAAAACAAGAAGTATTTTTAAAACTCCCAGGGATGAAAACAGACTTGACTTTTTGGGTCAAAGAAAGTTTCATGCCTAACAACTTAAATGTGCAGAACTAGAATGTAAGCTAGGCTAGTTTTAAAACCTTAGCGTTGAATTTCCAAACTTCAGAAACCTATACCTTAAGATTCAGCTTCACAGGTAGAGTCAGATCTCTTATCTCTAAGACTTTCCTCTAACAACAACAACAACAACAACAACAACAACAAAAGAAAAAAAAAAAAAAGGAAAGGGTGGTGGGATCCTGAGGGAAATGTGAGGCCTTTCCTGTCAGGCTTGGTATAAGTTTTTGCTCAGTCTGGAAGGATGTTTTCTCAACACCTGTCTCAGCTCTAGAAGGGATGCCATCTGAAGTGTCCAAGTACTTGACTTCAAGCTTCTTACTAAGCCTATGGATTTTCTGTGTGGTGAGAGAGTGAAAAATGAAAATTGAATGAAATTTTCCTAGGCTCGAGGAAGACCTGGGTCCCACTCTTCACCTAGTTAGTAGTTAAGCATGCTGTAGAAAGCTAAATGTAATGAATAGAGGAGACCCAGAACAGTTGCAGGAAATCCTGGTGGCTGGGCCATTTTCTTCACTGAATTCTGTTCCCCTCGTTTCTGAGCATTTGTTTTTGCACCTGGAGGGTGTTGCTTGTACTTGGGGGGCCTCAGTGCACTAACTTTTTGTTCTAGAATATATAAAATCCCTATTGCTAACACTTGTACGCTAGATGAAGAGTGTTGTATAATGAGAAAAAGAGGGAAGTCCTGCAGTATTATAACTGGGTAAACTGGATGCATTTTAATGCAGCTGAAAGCTAGTTATGCATCCAGATACTGTATGTGTATGGTGCTGCCTCCTGAAAAGGAGCAGTTGAAAAGGCTTGAGATCATGAGGGAAAGCACAATCAGTATGAGAATACCAGCTCAGCCAAACCAGCCCAACAGAGTAGAACTCAGCATGAACTCTGCTACCTCATGGCAATTAACGGGGGAGCCACCATGATCCTGGAGAGGATAAGCAGAAGTGTGCTGAAACTGCAAATTATCTTTACCTTTGTATGTAGTATTACTGTCATGTTGTATATCTATTTCTAACCTCTTTTAAAGGATGTGGAGGGAGGAAAATGATTCCCAGTTTTGAAAAAAGTCCTTCTAGTTTGGGACTTAGACCTTGGACCATGTGTTGTGACATCCTTTGGCTTCAGAAACACCTGCTTTACTAAGACAACTGGTGTGTGTGTACGTGTGTGTGTTCAGATGCAGGGAAGCAATTACAGGGGTCAGTGATGAGTCCAGGGGGGCAGATGCACACTATTGGGCTGGTATTTCAAGAGCAAGTTTGTCTTCTAAAACACAGGAGGTGGTGGAGCACACCTGG